CAAATCTTACGATTCGGTTTTGCGATAATCGGTGATAAAAGAATATTTATACCTAAGCAACATTTTTGAAAACTTATAATTTTGACTTTCTGTCAGACTTTCTGACAGAAGAAAAGTTTGTCATAAAGGTCTGAAATAACACGTCGGGGAAAGAAATGTTCTCTCTCCATCCCCAATCTTCATGATACCCTATGAGTAGGGATTCATGAAGTCAAAAAGCTTGATATTTTTAGAAACTACTTGACTTGACTTGAAAAACCAAGTATTTTAGAATCTCACTACTTGACTTGATTTTCAATCGTTACTACTTGACTTGATATCAAGCAGTTTCAAGCTACTTGATATTACTTGATTGCATCTTGCCGCACTGCCCATCCTATAATAGTGATTGGACATCGGATATCTAACATCGATGATAATATCACTTAATATTATGGATGCTGATAAAACATCGGTTGAAAAATATCGATGTTTTAAAACAACAATGGTTAGTCTTGACGCTAATAACAATAAAATACTTGGCCCTTTAACGGCGTGGAAGTTACAAGTGGGAAGTGTATCCAAAATTCTTACCATATGGTCTAACTATATGTAGATAAAGCGCTTGACCGAATCATAATCCACCTTTTGATATGGTTTCCTTGCTTTTTAAAAAACGACGCATCAGCAAATTCAAAGTGACATTTGCAAATTAAGTGATACTAATATGAAATGTCAGAATTATTTGCATACGAAAATTTAATTTTGCCTTTATGAACACAACTTTGGGAACAAGTGACTACAGGACGAGGCTTTTGCTTACACAGGCTCGCTACGCTAATCATATGCTTTTTAGTTAATGCACAAAAATTTGAATTTGGCGCCACTATTTGTGTTGGTAGCGAATTTAAAACTGACGGGCGTTTGTCAAACTTCACTTTTAAAAATATATTATTATTTGTTTACGTTAATAAATAGTTTCTTGCTTTATTTGTTTTTAATTGATGTTTTAATCCGCAATTCTTGTTAACATTAGAATTTAGTTTTTTCAATAATGTTTATTATTGCAGGATTTTGTGGTTGATTAAAAATATCAAATGAAACTTAATACAAAGTGAAGTAATCAAGTAGCTTGAGAAAAATCAAGTAGTTGTGAGCAAATGCTTGACTTTTCAAGTACTTGAAATTGTAACTACTTGACTTGAACTTGACTTGAATTCAAGTCAAGTCAAGTCAAGTCAAGTAGTGAAACCCTACATATGAGCACTGAACTGAACTTTGTACTAGGACTAGGTGTCCCATTTTCGTGTGTTTCGTGGGGTTTTTCTGTTACTTTTTATGAAACTAAAGATGCTACACAGATATTTTTCCAGCCTTCTTGTTTTTTGAAATACAGAGAAAATTTGAAAATGTTACATTTTTCGACCCTTCTATCTCAAAATATGAACCAAACTTCTGTTTTTTTTAAAATGGGACACCCTGTATATTATTTTTTAAACCTTTTGCCTGTTGTCTATAAACAATGCATTATTTAACTTTTTAACATAAATCAACCTAGTTTAAAACTAAAAAACTAAAACTAAAACTAAACTGCACTGAAAATAAACTTGTGCAGCTTTTAGATAACACGCTGTTAATCAGAGTTACTGATACTTTTGATTTTTAATAGAATTATTGCACAAGTGCTAGTGCAATAATTCTACACACAGAAACTAGCGTGGAATGGCCAGTAACCACAATGTGGTGTCGAATAAAATATTTGATTGTTTTGAAGCATAAGCTGTCATTCTTGAAATATGATCTATTTCAAGAATGACAGCTTCCAGCGAAAACCTAGTTACGCCACTCAATTCTATGTAAAAACTCTATAGGACTCAGTTTTCACCATTCATAATCATAAGTTAAAAGATAATCGGGATACACAAAGAAGGCGAAAAATCCAACATATCCAAATTCGCCCTGTATTTCAGGAACTGAGGGGACTAGGATAGATCTGTATATAGAATCTTTAGATTTTTATAAAATAAAGTACTGTAATATGAAAACCGCATCTTTTTACCTCTACTTATAAGCGAGAAACTGTATAAAACACTGTAAAACACGCGAAAATGGGACACCCTGTACAAACTATACTGTTCAAGCAAGCCGCTATGTATGGACACCCCTTTAGAGTACACTTCTATGGGGTAGTAAGTACGGGCCAAGTACCAACCGATAATCGGGTACCTGATAAGGGTACGGGACAGCCACGAGAATATGGTCAAAATTTGTTTTTCTCAAAATTTCGCCAGTTGGTAAAAGGTCCGCCTCGATATACTTTGCAAATATTCTCCCGTTTAGAAAGGTTAAAGATTTCGAAGAAATACTCATTAGTTGTTTCCTAACTTTAAGCGATCTCGTTATTGCTTCTTTTATATTTCTATTTGTTATTTCACTTATTTACTTTAAAACAGAAGTAATCGTTGTTAAAATTCAATCAGTGTTTTATTTGTGAATAATTAAGGATGATCGAGAAGAACTACTGTGGATAACATTAGGTTTCAACCGCATCAAACGGTAAGATTTAATTAAGGTTAACCTTAATCAAACTTAGATTTATTTTAGTCGTAGAAACTAAAATGTAATTAAAAAAAATTAAATTATAACACTTTAATATATATTTATTTAGGACACTGTACCTTTTGAAAATAATTTAAATTGTCGCCCTAGTAGTCCAACATCTACAATTTTTAAAAAAATAATCATTTCGCGTCAAGTGACGTGAATAACCCTGTATAATACTTATACAGGAATCATAAATATCTATGATACTTTCGATTATACTTTTTTTTATCATATACATAATTCCTCATTATTTAGGAAATACGACTAAACTATAGCTATTAGGTCATTGCCGATAATTGATCCTTATATGCAAATCAGCTTCACATTATACCCAATAATATGTCTCATTAGAATAGCCATAAAATATTTTACCGTTTTTATTTATTTGGTTGATAAATTAACTATAGTTCGTATATTTTACAATTACGTATATAAATTACAGTTGGTTGTTGGAACCTTTGGTGTTACAACAGCAAGATAAAACACTCTTTCACTGAAACATTTTACTTTAAACACAAGTTCATTTATGATGCTAACATGGCTATCGAAATGCGCGACTAGTTTTAGAGTGCTTTATTTTGCTAGGTATATGAAGTTAATTAGTAACAGAATTCCGTATAAGAAAACTTTTCTATCAGTAGTGTGCATTTTTATTTTTCAATTTTCATGTTTTATTCAGAAAATCAAGATAACTACAAAACGTATTATTGTTAACAACACGAACAAGATACCTATAAAAGATAAGACACTGTACAAATAGTCTGTTTATTTGCTGTTTCATTAATAAGAAGTATCGTATATGTAAATTTTTTATGTACTGTCGTGTTCTACTTATTTAACTTTCGAATTTAGTGAGAAAAATTACGTTTTTTGTCCTGTTTTCGAATTAAGCATTAATAATTAGCTAATGTCTAATTTTAGAGCTGCATAATTAAACTACACGCGGTATAAAATAGCGTTCGAATGCAAAACGGTTTAAAAATAGTGTGTATATACGGAAAATATATAAAAGTTTTAAAAATGTAAATATTTTCGGTAACTTCAAAGGGACATCCTGAACAAAAATGATAATAGTCTGTCATTTAGTAATGATGTCCTTTAATTTTAAATGTCTTAGAAATTTTACTTACTTAAATGTGTTATTTAAATGGAAATTATAGGTTACAATTATATTAAGGCAAATTATAAAATTAGGGCATTCTGTATAAACCCTAGATATTCTATAAAATGACTAACGATTTCAGGCAATGTATGAAATATAAATGTTTTTATATACCCTACCTAGACACACAAGTGGAAATAGTAAATATAATATAATACCTAGTCTACAAGTAGAAAAAAGACTCAAAGTCTCGGTCTGAACGTTTATATTAAATTAAACACGTGTCACTTTAATTTAATATAAACGTTCAGACCGAGAGTTTGAGTCTTTTTTCTACTTATATTTAATTTAAACCAGGTCTCTTTGAGAAGAATGGACGCCTTCTTTAAAGCTATTAAAGAGATGGATTTGAAGGATATATTTTTTTATGAATGCTTTTTATAAACTTTAAAAAAATTAGAGTTACCTAATATAAAACCGTATACTATTCTAGCTTTATAATTTTATAATGTTTTTTTTTATTTTTATTAAAAACGAGAATTCTCTACATATATATCTCTGACTACTACTAGCTGCTACGAACTAAGCTACTAACCAACAATTTGTTTTGTGTGGTCTGTTTTTGTTTAAATGTTTTGTTCGTTATTCATGTTGGGGATTTATTTTTAAATGAATGTTAATCGTTAGGCAACCAGTAAACTCATAGAATATGTATTTCTTTTGCATAATCAAAATGTTCACTCTAAATCGCTGTCTTTTTTAGACACATGTCACTTGCCTTGTTATAAGGTTATTATTCAATTCATTATTCGAATTCTCAGAACGTTGTTAACAAAAGTTTCATCTTAAGTTTTAATCAATCACAATTGTTTATCTCCATGATTTACCGTATTAATAATACAGAAATTACAGCTCAATTACAAATAATTCATCAATTACAGTTATTTACAGTAATTTTATTAAATTATACGAATATTCTCGTTGATTATTGGTTTGAAGTAAATATGACAATGACCTCAAATGAAAATGCGAGTTTACTAACTCTGTACAATCTAACTGTATCTCTTCGTAATCTGTAGTCTATAAAATGCCTACGAGATGAATATTATATAATTTATTTCATATACAATACCTGATGCCTGAGTTTTAAAAATTTTATATGATTCCCCTTGCCACTAATGTCAAAATGCATTTGAAAGAAATTTGAAGTGCAATGCAAACAAACATTAATTCTTTCTATTTGTTAGTTTCTTTTTTGGTGGACCAAGCAGAATATTATTGTATCTTGTCTCAATGTACTTTATTCTTGTTCCAGGCCTTCGCCAACATTCGGCCGTGCGCACCACCTAAACGCCAGCAGCCCGCCGCCCACGATGACGCTGCCTGTGGCCCGACCGCTGCGCGCTCCTAGCGATAGGGCGTCGGCGCATCAGCAGCAGCAGCAATCGCCGGTGGGCAGGCGCAGAACGTCCTGCCTGGGCGGTGGCGTCGCGGGAGGCGGCGCCGGCGGATGGAGCGACGCCGTTAAGCAGACGACGCAGGCGCGCCGCTCCTGGCACCTGGGCTACGGGGCGCTGCACGACGTGGAGGAGACGACGATTTCGGCGGTGGCAGGCGCGATCAGCGGGGCAGTGCGCAGGGCAGAAGCCTGCAAGAAAGGTAGGAAGTTACATTTTTATTAAAGCGACATTGAAATCGTAATTTGCTTATACAGCTGCATTAGTTCACCAAAAAATGTCCTTTCTTTTTCTTAATTTAATAGTAACTTTACATCTATTCATGGATTCTAATATACAGAAGTGTGTCAAATAGCGACGTATTTTAGACTGCTTCTATGTTTTACTTTAAATTAATCTGATTTTCTCACATTTTATCCAATTTTTTGCTGGAAAAAAGTACAGAGCATTGTAAGCTGAATAAGCATCTAAAGCTAATGGATTGATGGCCGAAACCATGTGCAGGTTCAGTCAGTTTGAAGAAGAAACGACAGAAAACGTTTTATTAGCCTGGCAAATGTGCGATTCTCTGTAATAGGCAATGATAGGCCATTGACAGAGCTATATGGGCGGTTCAGTCTCCAAATTGCTAGACATATTGAAAAAGAGAGGACTGGAGAATGTAACCTAAGAATCAACAGAGAACCACAATAGATCTGAAAAGGTCGCAGTGGATCAGGTCGATAGTCACCTCGAAAAATCTAATCTAATCTAACATTAACTGATTGATTAATAATAATTGTTTCTGTTTATAAATAATAATTATTGTGTAACATAATAATGTTGTTTAGACGAAAATTCAATTGAATTAGATATTCTGAACAATCAAAACAATGTTAAATTTCTATATTTTTATCGTTTTTTAGTCATGGGAAATAATAAAATATATAAACCGATTGGTGAAGAAAGATGTGACGAACGATTATTTACTATGCAATAAATCTCAATTCTTTTGATTAATTATATGATTCCGATATTCAGATTTTAGAAAAAATGTGCAAACAATATTTGTCGTAATCTAAAAGTCTAGAGATTAGATTAAATGACTTACTATGAATTTGACGACATGAAACAATTTTTAATATTTTAAATATCATTATTCGTTCACATCATGATATTATGGCGATGTTGCTATTCTGAAATCTTAGCATCACCTTTAATCATTGAAAAATATGAGGACTTTTTCAATATGTGAGAGAACAGTGGACAGTACTGAGAGATAGTATAGTTGTTATGTATATCAATATACCCTATGTATAAAAAACAGACATTTTAATTGAAGTGAAATAAGATGGAAGATATTCTCGAGAACTGACCGGAAAATTTAGTAATAAATTACATTAAATAAATAATATATTTCTTTGAATGTGGTAGACAATGATTCAGTATTGAAAATAAAAATTGGCACCGGGAGGCACGTATAGCCGTCCATACTAAAATATGTTAATAAAAAGTTGGTAGGCAGTTCTTTTAGTTTCAAAGTAATGGAATTTTTCCAATTTTGGTCCGCGGTTATTTCCCCTATCTGCCACCTAGGGTCGCGTCCGATGGGAATTTGGAGTTCTCCACACGGATTCTCTCAAAAACGGACTACGCAAACACGGAATATCTCAAAAACTGCGACTTTGACTGATTTTGATGTTATTACAAATTTTGTTGCAAATATTATTCCTAATCTTAAATTGAAAACCGCGTTTCGCTAGCTACTGTAATTTTGTAGTTACGATTTTTTAAAGTTTTTAACCCCCTCCCATACCCCCTTACCAACCCACCAAAATCTAATGGGCAGATTTTCAGGTGCCACAGAATTTTGTGCAAAATTTGGTTAAAATCGGTTTAGCGGTTTTTGAGTTGTCGTGTTACAGACGGACGGACACACAGATAGACACCATGAAAATATTTTGTATTTAGGTCATTTATGACCCAAATAACTCATTTTGATTGAATTTAAAAAAAAATATTTTTTTTTGCCGATCTTAATAGCCTACCATACCTGTTGGTATGGTAGTCTATGGTATGGTAATCTATGGTCGGCTAAAAAGATTTCGGACTTCCATAGTCTTTATTTATTTTGATTAACACCCGATTTTGATTTTTGATCTGAGCGAAACGTTGTTTTAATCAAAATAAATAAAGACAATGGAAGTCCGAAATCCTTTTATTTTCAATAAATAAATAATTTATTAATTCCATTTTTATTTAATTTTATTAACTGTGATTAATAAAATTGTATTTATCTCATCTAGGAGATCGAAATGGACAAAATATCAAGATACAATATTTAATCGCCATTAAATGGCCTACACAATTTTGCTAATAAGAGGAAAAGTCAGTGGCGCACATGTTTTTTTAGAAAAATATTCCCGTGGTAACCTATATAACACTGGTGAATCCTGTCGACACTTTTTTATCATTAAAATAATGTAGTGCTCATAGTAACTTTTACCCTCCAAACCTCATTCGAATCGCTAAAAGAACTTGAAAGAAAATTATAATAAATCGAAAAAATATTAAGACTTTTATCACCCTGTAACTACGAATCTAAGCAGAACCGGACCTATGTTAATATGAAAAATAAATCTTATTTTTACGGGAGGAATCTCCCTACGAGAGATGGTACATGTTTTTTGAAACACCCTGTATATATCTATATTAAAATTCTGCAATCTAATACGAATCACTATTGTATAATGTATGGAATAACTCCCTCGTATATTTTATGGTTGTTCGGATTTACCTGCAATTAATATCCTTAAATTGTAATTTCCGTACTGATATCGTGTTATGGTATTATTTATCTTATGCGAAAACCTAGATAAGAAAGTCGATTGAAACGTTTACGTACAGTACAATTGTTCTATTTTAAGGTTATTGTCTATCGTTTGAGTCAAAATATGTACTGATATGAAAAACGTAATAACAAATTGGCAGTGTGTTAATTGTAGGCTAGGCAAACGAAGTGCAGTGTATACGTGTGTTTTTCTCTTCTATTTAATTGGTCCATGAAATGTTTGTTTTTTAATTGCTACGTAGTAATTAGCGAATTTCAGCCATGTGTTTTAGGATATTGAACACAGGTATGGGTTTTGTAGCTTTTAAGATTAATTTATTCAAATTATAGTTGTTGAAATACTAACAACTCTCGCACGTGAATTATCACGATAAAACTTAAATGGTGACAATTTACTACTTAACAATAGTCTCTTTTCAAGCGATTAGGCTTGTTACAGTAAAAAAATATCCCTGAAATAAAAAAAATAATAAGTATATTATACCGCAAACATAATAAATACTGTAACTATGAGAAAATATAAAATCCTATATATCCTGTTAGCAGAATTAGTTGAAATTAAAAAACACATTCAATAAAGTTGATTATTTGATTTAGAACAATCATATTCAGTTATTACATTTTCTAATTCTATGTCCTATTACGGGTGTCTAACCATATGATCGAAGACGTCGATGATATCGATAAAATATGGCTTGGAAATGAAGATTCATTTTGTATGTAAAATTATATGGGAACTATCATCGATCGTCACCTTCACGACAACTAGATGCCGTTATTTTACAGACTTAATGTAGTCCTTTTTTCCAGATATGCCAACATTATTGGCGTAGTTTTATTAATTCAAGTTAAATTGACAAGCAAGTATATAATGTCAAAAAAGCATAGAATCTAAGAAAATTACCGGAAAGCAATTGAACGAAAAGAAAGTTGTCCAAAAGAATGGCTACTCGAAAAGAAAAATCACCGAATTACAATTGACGGAAATAAAAATTTCCCGGAATATCGATTTTTGATACAAAAATGCTTTAATGCAGGCCATTTAAGAACGATCAATTTAATAAAAACCAAACATATTTATACAGATATATTGATTGAAATAACTGTAGAGCAGACTGATGGGCGGCGGGTAAATACCTTACACCGTCTGGGTATACTATACCCACTGATACATACTGGTATATTCCCGGTATTATACCGGTTATTTACAATACGGTCGTCGGAATCTGACCGTTATTACTTTTTTTCGGACAATTTTCCTGTTCGGTAAAATGGCCTTAAAAAGGTCCTACACGCAACGATATCTGAGTGATTTGAACTATACCGCCCTTCGATTTAGTTCAAATCTCAACGTGTAGTGGCGGTTTCGATAAAGATCTCATCGAAGAGATTAGATCTGCGATCTTTCAACGTGCTGAATATTTTTAACTGCACAGACCACAGATTTGGCGGGAACTCTACTAGACTACAGACTCACGAAACTATCTTTTATAAAATCTGAACGCGTTCTCTGAAAATATAGCTATCAGACTAGTCTTAAGAGCTGAGCTGTGCGATTTGACATGCAGATCCAACATGTATGGCCCTTTTTAGGATGATTTGCTTTCGGTCAATTTTCCTGCGGTAAATTGATTTCCGGCAATTTCCGGATACCAAATGTTTTCCCTCTCTCTCTATCTCTCTCTTCAGTCCTTCACCCTACGTGAGAGTTTGGTGACATCATGTGTTGTTTCTACTTGGTCTACCCACTTCTTAGGTGACCTTCCACGTGATCGTCTATACCCTCCCCTCCACCATCAGTCTCTCAATTGAGGTGCCACTCTTGGCAATATGGCCAAAATATCGGAGGATTGACTGATTTAATTTGGTAACCAGACGTGTCTCAATTTTTAATTCTTCAATAATAGAAATGTTTGTTCGATGAGCCGTCAATGGTATTCGCAGCAGCCGTCGATACACCCACATCTCTAAGGCGTTTATTCTTTGCTTATCACTTTCCTTTAATGTCCATGTTTCAGAGCCATACATAGCTATGGGGAAAATGAGGGAGTTTGCAATGCGCAGTTTCGTTTATCGTGTGATTGTTGATGTCTTCCATATCTTAGTAAACTTTGTTGTTGCATTCTTCGCCATTGTCACTGCGCCTGGTTTCAGCCTCATCCAGAGCATCCTCCAGAGTTTGCTATCATGGCACCTAAATAGTTGAACTGGCCCACAACTACGTATCCAGCCACGGTTCGGACATCAGGTTGGTTGTTGCGGAGGCGGTCAACAATCATGATCTTGGTTTTCCGTTTGTTTAGTTCCAAGCCATATTCTTTACTAATCTTACACAGTGCAGCCATGACTTCCTGCAACTCTTCTTTACTGGC